GCGCACCCGGGAGAGTACTCTGCTCAACTAAGACAAGATATATACCCCAAATACACACCCTCCAGGGACCCATGTTCTCCATCCACACCCTACCTGCCTACAGTTATCACCCAGTTAATCCCCATCAGGGGATTAATTCACTGATTGGATTAAGGCTCTCAAAACCCAAGCATTTCACCTCTAAACCTTCTTGCATTGCCTCACATGTGAGCTTTTGGGGGATATATATCTAAACCATAACAGGGGTTAAAGCGATAACATATCTCCTTGTATGCTTTCAATGCTTTTTGGTAATGTATTTGTGTGTATTTTATATAGTGAAAATATGTCATTATGTACTTGTGGCTTAACACTTGAAGTTTGCTTTGAAGCCTTTCAATTAAGTGGAAGGGGAACTGGAGTCCTACTGTTCTCTTAACCTAGAATCTCTCCCTTCCCCCTGTTTTATTCAATGAATAGAGCAACCTGAGGACCCATACCTCAGTGGCTTCAGGGTAGGGACACTCAGCATAGTCCAGAAGTTCAGTGCCTGTGAAAACCAATCTTGGAAGGGCACTGACAAATTTTCTGTGAAGCTGGAGTTTAAAAAAACTCATCATCTATTTAAAAGATTGTGCTTTGTTGTTAACAGTAACAGCTTCAGGAAATTTAACACTTGGAGGAAAAACCTGAAGACTTCACTTTGCTCATATCTTGACTCTGTACAAATACAGTAAAAGAGAAGGAACAGTCAGACCTTGATGTTCTTATGGGAGAGAATGTGTGGGACTGGAATTCAGGAGTCCTAGGATGCAGCAGGTTCATTAATTGGTATGCAATATTGAGCACAACACCTCTTTTATTTATTTATTTATTTATTTTTCAGACCTCTCCAAAAGGTCAAAATTTATCTTTTTTTATTGGTTGTTCAAAACATTACAAAGCTCTTGACATATCATATTTCATACTTTAGATTCAAGTGGGTTATGAACTCCCATTTTTACCCCAATTACAGATTGCAGAATCACATCGGTTACACATCCACATTTTTACCTGATGCCATATTAGTAACTGTTGTATTCTGCTACCTTTCCTATCCTCTATTATCCCCCCTCCCCCCTCCCATCTTCTCTCTCTACCCCATCTACTGTAATTCATTTCTCTCCTTGTTTTTTCCCATTCCCCTCACAACCTCTTATATGTACTTTTGTGTAACAATGAGGGTCTCCTTCCTTTTCCATGCAATTTCCCTTTTCTCTCCCTTTACCTCCCATCTCATGTCTCTGTTTAATGTTAGTCTTTTCCTCCTGCTCTTCCTCCCTGCTCTGTTCTTAGTTGCTCTCATTATATCAAAGAAGACATTTGGCATTTGTTTTTAGGGATTGGCTAGCTTCACTTAGCATAATCTGCTCTAGTGCCATCCATTTCCCTGCAAATTCCATGATTTTGTTATGTTTTAGTGCTCCATAATACTCCATTGTGTATAAATGCTACATTTTTTTTTATCCATTCATCTATTGAAGGGCATCTGGGTTGGTTCCACAGTCTAGCTATTGTGAATTGTGCTGCTATGAACATAGATGTGGCAGTATCCCTGTAGTATGCTCTTTTAAGGTCTTCAGGGAATAGTCCGAGAAGGGCAATAGCTGGGTCAAATGGTGGTTCCATTCCTAGCTTTCCCAGGAATCTCCATACTGCTTTCCAAATTGGCTGCACCAATTTGCAGTCCTACCAGCAATGTATAAGAGTACCCTTTTCCCCACATCCTCGCCAGCACTTGTTGTTGTTAGACTTCAAAATGGCTGACAATCTTACTGGAGTGAGATGGTATCTTAGGGTGGTTTTGATTTGCATTTCTCTGACTGCTAGAGATGGTGAGCATTTTTTCATGTACTTGTTGATTGATTGTATGTCCTCCTCTGAGAAGTATCTGCTCAGGTCTTTGGCCCATTTGTTGTTTGGGTTACTTGTTTTCTTATTGTTTAATTTTTTGAGTTCTTTGTATACTCTGGATATTAGGGCTCTATCTGAAGTGTGAGGAGTAAAAATTTGTTCCCAGGATGTAGGCTCCCTATTTACCTCTCTTATTGTTTCTCTTGCTGAGAAAAAACTTTTTAGTTTAAGTAAGTCCCATTTGTTGATTCTTGTTATTAACTCTTGTGCTATGGGTGTCCTATTAAGGAATTTGGAGCCCGACCCCACAATATGTAGATCGGAGCCAACTTTTTCTTCTATCAGACGCAGAGTCTCTGATTTGATATCAAGCTCCTTGATCCATTTTGAGTTAACTTTTGTGCATGGCGAGAGAAAGGGATTCAGTTTCATTTTGTTGCATACGGATTTCCAGTTTTCCCAGCACCATTAGTTGAAGATGTTATCCTTCCTCCATTGCATGCTTTTAGCCCCTTTATCAAATATAAGAAAGTTGTAATTTTGTGAATTGGTTTCTGTGTCCTCTATTCTGTACCATTGGTCCACCCGCCTGTTTTGGTACCAGTACCAGGCTGTCTTTGTTACTATTGCTCTGTAGTATAGTTTGAGGTCTGGTATCGCTATACTGCCTGACTCACACTTCCTACTTAGAATTGCTTTTGCTATTCTGGGTCTTTTGTTTTTCCATATGAATTTCATAATTGCTTTATCTATTTCTACAAGAAATGCCATTGGGATTTTGATTGGCATTGCATTAAACCTATAGAGAACTTATGGTAATATCGCCATTTTGATGATGTTAGTTCTTCCTATCCATGAACAGGATATATTTTTCCATTTTCTAAGGTTTTCTTTTATTTCTCTCTTTAGGGTTCTGTAGTTTTCATTGTATAAGTCTTTCACCTCTTTTGTTAGGTTGATTTCCAAGTATTTTATTTTTTTTGAAGATATTATGAATGGGGTGGTTGTCCTCATTTCCATTTCAGAGGATTTGTCGTTGATATACAGGAATGCCTTTGATTTATGTGTGTTGATTTTATATCCTGCCACTTTGCTGAATTCATTTATTAGTTCTAGTAGTTTCTTTGTAGACCCTTTTGGGTCTGTTAGATATAGTATCATATCTTCCGCAAATAGACAACACCTCTTTTAAATATAATGATATCTTACCTAGTTTTAAAAATTGTATTGGTTCTTTTTAGTTATATACAACATTAGAATTCACTTTGACAATTATAAAATTATGGAATGTAAATATTAACGAGTTTTTGTTTTCCTCTCTCTTTAATGCCTACATTCTCCCAGAACACAAATATGAAAAGAAACCCATACTACTATTTAAAAATTCCTGCTTCATGGGACTTAGGTCTTTGTGAAGAAAACACAACAAATGTATGCTCCATTAGGTAGCAAGATGTACTACGAAGAAAATTAAGACAGAATTAATGGTGTTTAGGTTAATAACAAAGGGTGAGACTTGCATAAGATGATAAGAAACAAGCTTAGGAAGGTGTCAGAGGTGATGTCTGCACAGATATTAAAGTCATAAGGAAACTGGATTTCACTTTTCATGTGATAGAAAGGAATTAAAGCTAAGAGCAGGAGAGGCACATGACTTTCTAATTAATAACAATAAAGTTATTGGGTGTAGTTTATTGACCATACTGTTTGTTATGCATAATGTTAACTTCCCGTAGTTTATTTCATTTTATTAGATCATTATAGTTATGCATAACAATGTGGTTCATTTTGACACATTCATGATGCATATAACATAATTTGCTCAATTTTAATCCCCAATATTTCCCCTTTCTCTTCCCTCCTTTCTCACCCTGATCCCCTTTTTTTATTGGTCTTCCTTCTATTTATTTATTGTTTTTTAATTGGTACATTATAATTACTAACTGATATATAAAAGTGGAATTTCTAGCTGATGTGTACATTGCATGAAGGAATTATTAGTCAATTGCTGACATTTGAACTGTCTTATGAATGGATGCTTAGTTTCATAGATAAACATATCATGATGAGTTATAAATAAGCAATTTATTGACATTTTACTAATCACAAGTGTTAAGCATGGAAGGGATTCATGTCGAGTCTAGGACATAAATTTTGTTAGAAAAATTAATGGAAGGCCAGAAGAATGAATTAAAGATCTAAAGTGAGAGGCTGGGGTTGTGGCTCAGTGGCACAGCACTTGCCTAGCATGTGTGAAGCACTGGGTTTGATTCTCAGCACCACATTAAAAAAAAGGTCCACTGACAATTAAAAAATATTAAAGAGGAGAACTAAAGTGAAATGGAGGTGCTTATGATACTTTTGCTTAATATCCAAAACATTTTTTTCTCCTACCAGGATATTTGTCATCATATTACTTGTCATCAGCATTGCATGGGTTCCATTAGTACAAGTATCTCAAAAAGGACAGCTGTTCCATTACCTAGCATCAATTTCCAGCTACCTTGGGCCTCCAATTGCAGCTGTCTTCCTGCTTGCCATCTTTTGTAAAAGAGTCAACGAACAAGTAAGCAAAAACTGGGAAAAAATTTTCCTGCCAGAGTGAGAATTATTGTTTCTTTGGCTGAGATAGCAAAATACATTGCAACTTTCATAAAACTGCTTTCATAAACTTGTGCTCATGATTAGCCCTTTAGAAGGGGAGGGGGGATAGTAGGGGATAGGAAAGGTAGCAACAGTCATTAATATGGTATTATGTAAAAATGTGGATGTGTAACCGATGTGATTCTGCAACTTGTATTTGGGGTAAAAAATGGGAGTTCATAACCCACTTGAATCAAATGTATGGAAGATGATATATCATGAGCTTTGTAATGTTTTGAACAACCAATAAAAAAAATGATTAGCCTTTTATTTGTCATTAGTTGAGAAAGTAGGCTGAATGATAATCATGATTTACTTGATTGATTTGTCATCTTTTCTAAACATTGATTTATCATTATTTCCTTTGCAGGGAGCATTCTGGGGTCTAATAATTGGACTTGTGATAGGCCTTATTCGTATGATTGCAGAGTTTGCCTATGGAACAGGGACCTGCTTGGTTGCCAGTGACTGTCCCAAGATCATCTGTGGAGTGCACTATATGTATTTTTCCATCATTCTCTTCTGCTCATCCCTACTGGCCATCCTGGGGATTTCCTTCCTAACGAAACCCATTCCTGATGTACATGTGAGTATTGGGTAATGGCAATTTTCTCATCGTAAAATAAGAGTTCTTTGCCTTCTTAAGTGACAACTGGTACACAAGTCTCAGGTCGATGAAATCATTGCACCACATAAAGTAGAAAAAAAAGAGAGTATTGTCATCTTGTCATTCAACTAAACAACAATTTTCTGCCTTAGTATGTAAAAAGCACCAGTGATTAAGAATTAAGAGATTAGGAAATAGGCTTGAGAATCCCTAAACTGCAGAATGCTATTGGTAGGTAAATCTACACCATTGTTAAAGCATACAAGGGAGAAACACTTAGTGTTGCTTAAGAGTCAGGGATCTGTTGCCTAAAAGACTGTGACACCTAACAGCAGAACTGTCATCTGAGAGGAGCCAGTTTGGGGGCAAGTTGAACCTCATATACAATATACACAAACACTGACAACAGAGATGAAAAAGAAAAAGCACATGGTAGCAGGGGGCAAGAAAAGGAAAAATAGAATGGCATTCATCTTTTGCCTTTCAAATAGATGAAAGTACCTAATATGATTATTGTACAATGTTGATGGGATGTGAAAGAATGCCCACAGTCCAGAATTGCTGAGGGTATGCATTTTATAATTTGCAATTGGGCAACATTTGTCAAGTTTTAGATTTCTAACCTTATGAGTTAAGAATTTCATTTTTGGTAGCTTATGTAGAAAAGTATATAAAGGTAGGAAGATATTTGTAAAAGGATTTTCTCTGCAAATGTTTTATAATAGAAAAAGTGAAGACAATCCAAATTTCCACCACTAAAGGAATCGATACAAGATGAGGGAGCTTTGTTATTTGCTTTAAAAAATGTTTATAAGGGGCTGTGGTTGTAACTCAGTGGTAGAACATTTGCCAGGCACATGTGAGGCACTGGGTTTGATCTTCAACACCACATAAAAAAATAAATAAAATAAAGATATTGTGTCCATCTACAACTAAAATATATTAAAAAAAGTGCTGGACTCAGGAACTTAATAAAATGAACAGGGATTTAAAAAAATGTCTGTATTATGGCTAAATGGGAAAAACATATACAGAGTATTATACTACTGTCTAATATCATACTTGTAATAAAACACACATAGGAATAAATGTCTTCATCTATGCATAGAAAAAATCTTGACATGCTCACATCTGAAGTTTTTAGCAATTATCTCTGGAAGGGGGGCACCATAGGGACACAGAAAATATTAATCACTTAAAAATATGAATAATTTAAATACTAATGTTGATTGAATTTATTGCTAGCATGTATATTTTTATTTTGCATCATCAATTAATCAACATTAATCTTAAATAATATATATTTTATATTTCCTTGAGAAGTGACCAGTAGATGCTATGTGGATAGGTAAACTAAAGCACAGAGTAGGTGAAATTAGTTTACCAAAGAAATGTCACCAGAATTCATCACCAATATTTACACTGAATATTGGGCATTAAATGTTTTCATAGACAGCCATGAAATGTGTTGTTATGTACCTTACCTGTTAGAGCAGTAGTGAGATATTCCAGTTTTGGAGGAGAAATCTAGAATAAAATTGATGCAACTAAGAAGAAGAATTCAAGGAGTCCAAGGAAAAGAGCTTTACAAAGAAAGTGGATTTAATCTAATAAAAGAAATGCTATGAATAAGAGCTTATAAAGCTATGATGAGAAATCATTGTGATAAGGTGAAAGCATATATTTCTATGTCAATAATAGGTAAGAAAGCCAATTACAAAAATTTTGTAAATTGGTACAAGAAAGTTGTGAATTATATTAAATGATGCATTATTTTGAGAATATGACTTTAAATTAAAAAAACCTATTGATAATTGGAACAATTTCCTTAGCATGACACAAGGTTGGTGTTTATTCTTTGTATCTAATCACATAACTTGGATCTGTGACCAATAAAAAATGATAATACATATGTTATTTATTTTCAATTTCTTAATCAACATAACAGAATAAGTGTAGGTATCTTACTTATATTACAGAAATAAATTAAATTCTACAAAACAGTTTAGAGTACTGGTATAGTTGACAGAAGTTTGCAGGTGAGTTACCAAAGGTTAACAAGGATATTAATTGCAATTAGAACTTAAGAACAACACATAGATGCTATCTAAATCTAATGGATCAGAAATACAATGTCAGAAAATATTTTTAAAATTATAAACTATGATATAGCTATTAGAAGTTGGATGATAGGACAATGAATGAACAAGGGGCATGGTATATGTTAGCTAAATCTTATTTTTTTGGAATCACAAATTCAGAAGTGGGAGCTCTAAGAATATTTTTTGGAGTTTTGAAAATCTGCTAGAATAATTATAAGTAAAAATGTTTTAGTGAGTGAACTTGGCAGGAGGCCTTTTTTATTTTATGACATACACTCTTGTTAAGTTTCATTTTTAAACCATACACTAAATAAGGCTACAAATGGATTATTGGGAACATTTTTCCATCACTAACTTACTTGGGTATCTCTGGTCAGTTGTATCGCCTGTGCTGGGCTCTTCGGAACAGTACAGAGGAACGAATTGATTTAGATGCAGAAGAAATAAGGCATGAAGAATCTGACACTGAGGAGGAAGGTAATGTCTGGCTTACACTTGGTTTTTATGTAGGAACTCTGTGTGCATGGCTTGGTTTAGGGTGAGATTTTTTTTTTAAATGCCATGAAATTCAACTTCTGAAAAAGCTATTCAATTTGTGGCAAACTGAAACTTTACAATTTCATCTTTTCAGAAAACAATACAACTAGTTGTTACATATGTAATCTGTTCATTCATCTGCCTGTCCATCTATCTGTCCATCCATAATAATGCGAGGCAGTTGCTAAAATGATAATTACAAACTTTTCTGTTTTTAGTTATATGTTGTTTTCAACAAATTCATTTTGATTGATTTTGCTTAAGTATATAAACCTATCTGCTCCCCAACCTTACCTCTCACTGTTTTCTTCAACCCAAGTAGGCAGGTTACCTCACTTTCCCCACATGCATCATGTCCCCCTAGAATATTTCTACCTCCTGCTCAAAAGAAAAAAATATTCCTAAAATCTAAGTTCTAATTGCACTTCCTTTAGGAATATGAAGGAAGAATCCTTCACTATGGCTTTGATTACCTCATGCTTTTTAAAACTACTGACAAGATTTATCATGTCAAGATATATTGTCTTGAACTGTACACTAATTCTTTAGTTTTGATTTAGTTTCTTTCAATTTAAGAAAGGACCAATGTCTTCTATTTCTTTTGGCTGTTTATATCAGTACTCCTGTGATAAGACTCACCTGTAATTTTCCTGTATTGTACTTGGTTTTAGTGTTAAGCTCAGTGTTCTCAGAATAAATAAAAAGCAGCATTTTTTAATTTTATGAAAATATTTTAATAAAATTAGAGTGATATCCGCATTGAAATTTTAATATTCTGCCAGAAATAAAATTAGAGATTTCTGTGTGTGTGTGTGTGTGTGTGTGTGTG